TTTCCGACACCTATTCTCCCTTGTCTCTGATCCTGTAAGAAAAGGGTCAACAAAGAGATGAGAGGAACGCAGGAGGCCACCTGGGCCTGCCTGGGGACAGGCCCACGTGGCACCTGAGAGCTCAGGGTGGCATCTCAGAGATGGAGAAATCTCCTGACTAGTAAGGGAAAGAATTAGGAACCAACTCGGTTCCCAGAGGACTGGGGAGGATTTGAAATTTGACTTCAGCCCTTTGCTCTGGCACAGCCTGTGCCTCTGGGGAAACAACTTCGGTCAAGCTGCTTCTGACCCGGGAAGGGCTTGTCGGATGGCCCCGGGGGCTGGGGCCTCAGCCCGAGGGAATCCAGTGCTCTCACGGGAAGGAAGAAAATCTTTAGGAATTTGTTGCATTTGTCATTCGGGTTTGACTTCTGGCGAATTCTCTTGCTTTTGTTCATCTACTTATTTTTGAGGAGGGAGCAGGGATGAAGAAGTTGCTTTTGTACAGCTGAGGATGGCAGGGTCTGAGCTGGAATCTGCAGAAGTTCTTTTCAACTTCGAGGCCCCACGTGGGGTGCTGCGGGGCGAGCTACCAGTTATTCATCATGATGGTGGGGCCCTCTTGGGCCTGGAGTGGGGTCCCTTTGGGGTGTAAGGAAGCCCTGCCGGGGCTCTGTGCCACCATGACCTCACTCTGGGAGTGATTTTAGAGTGCAGTGTATGTGGCCAAGAAGAGTGGACCCTGCAGAGCTTTGAAACACAGCTCAGCCAGTTAGCACCTTATCTCGGAGGCAGACATCTGCTTAACGGGCAGGTGACAAAGTGCTTTTATTAAAGACACGGCTGGGAAAGAGCTCACTTTCTAGCACAGTTTCTGGCCCGGCCTGGAGCAGGCGTCTAGATGTTTGGTTATGGTTAAGATGTGAGATTGCTGTTGAGGGTGGGAAGGGAACAAGACACTCCCTTGTTGCCCCCCCTCCAAAATCTCAGCTACTAAGTGGGCTTAAACCATTAACTGGACAAATGATAATCCCTTTCCTCTTTATGACAAATGAGAGGTTACCCTGGGTCTTACTAGACCCTTACTAGCCTTTGCCAGTCACCTGGCAGGGAGGGAGATTATGGAGGCCTCATTGGATCAGCCGCTGCTGATCTACAAGGAGTAGAACCCAACATCGAAGGCGATTCAATCCCGTAGGCCTTTCCCACAGAGCTTCCATTCTGTTTCTTTCCCAAGGATTACAAATCCAGGGATGTGGGCCTAGGAACACACCATCCACTCTTGACTCTATGAGAAAACGACTTGCGTTTCTTTGGGTTCTGCCCTTAGCAGAAAATTCTAGGAGTATTCCCCAGATCAAAGAAGGGGTACTTTCTGTTCTCTGCAGCCTGGTTACAGAGAACCCCAAGGACACTGTCCTCGACCCCTTCAGTCTTATGTGCCACTTCAACTCACACATGCCCATGGCAGCAACTATCTTCTGAATGACAGTGATGTATTTACTTGTCAGCGTCGGAAAGCTTCCCTTTGGTTGGGCCCAATTATTAGCTTCATGAGCCACCTGCCAATTCAAATTCAACTTGACAAAATCAAAGCTGCCCTTTTCGGATGACTCTCCCCATTCTTAATGCTCCTCTGCCTTGTCATTAATTTTCCAACCAAAGGGCACCTGCAGCGTGATCTGACCTACATACCCTCTGTGGTCAGATTCTGCTCCGTTTCCCCATCGAGACTCCCTGGGTGTCACCACACCCGTCAGCCTCCCTCTCCAGGTGCCTCCTCGCTCCCTCATTCTTGTCCTGTCTCAGAATCAAATATTCCAAGAGGGTCTTAGGGGTTTAGTGCTCTTGGGTTTCAAGGAGAGTTTTTTTCAGGGGCTTCCCAGCCTTAGGTCATCCGACTGTCCTTACTGCATTCCAAATGACTGAGGCCTCTGGCAGACGTTTCCAGCAAGACAAGAAACAATGCATCACCTTGTCCAGACAGGGACCTTCCAAGGCAGCCAGGCAATGGAACAGAAGGAACGCAGGCTCTGGCAGACCCGGTTCAGTCCCTGCCTCGTGTGCCCTCAGGCTGATTTCTGCAAAATGTCTCCATTTTTTTATGTGAAAGTGTGGGGGCTGGTGTCTCCCTCACCGGGCCACCTGGGATTAGTGACAAGCTGCATGTACAGCCTGGTGGAGCTCTGACACCCGGTCAGCGATGGCTACAGTGCACCCTCCACTCAGTTCCAGCCACATCAAGAATCTCCTGTTTTAGGCATTCACAGTTCTTTTTTACTATTGTTAATCCTCACGTGAGGATATTTTTTCCATTGATTTTTAGAGAGTGGAAGGGAGAGAGGAAGGGGGGGGG